CTTTCACCAAGGAAGGCTTCCAATCTTTCCATCGTNAGGCAATCGTGGAAGGGCGTTACTTCCCTGAAAACATTTTCTTTTATTAACTTAGGAGCAGCATAATTCATTCGGTGAAATGCTATCTGTATACATACATGAGGTAACAAAATTTATTTTTATAGTTTAGTCTTTTTCAAGTGAGGAAGAGGTAACTACTTATAAAGCGGTTTTGGTATATTAGAGTAGTATTCTCTTATAAATATTCATTCACTGTTCACTTTTACTGTTTTCTTGCTTTCTCATCTTTCTTACTTTTTTACTTTTACTTAATTTACTGTTTTTATTCATGATACCTATTCATACTTAAGACATTTAAGTGAAATTTTGTTGTTAGCATGTTTTCTTTTTCTACGGGCAATTTCATATTATAAAATTCGCTCCCAAAAATTGAAAACCGTTGGCGTTAACTCTAACTCGAAGGAAATGCCTCTTGCGAACTTCAAGAAGGTCGTGGATTTCAGAATAACTTTCGGCCTAGACCATAGCCCCTCTTCAACCTCAAATTGTGATCCCCTTGAAGTCAGTTCAATTCGTAATATGCCTTCCCATATGCCTGCGTAATATGTCATAGGTGGAGACATAAAATCTGAAAGGCTTGGGTAGTTTCACCTCTTTACTACCATACTGTGGGTTTAGAACTAAGCGAAACTTGAAATAATATTTGTGTTTGTAGTTTATTGTACTTCCTAACCTGTACTTGCAAACGTTGCTGTTGAAGTTGTGGTTGATTGACTCGGTACTGTGGTAGTGCTTGTTGGTTGACTTGCTGGAAAAATAGGTACTGTAGTTCATATTCTTACCATTCTGTTCAGATTACGGTACGAACATGAACTTCGAATATAAGGCAAAGCTCCGTGTTTTTCCGAAACAGTGCACATAGTGAGCTTACCTGTGAGCCTCTCTGTTGTTGTTGCTGCTGGGCATTGTAGTTGGTGTTTTGTTGTCCGTAGACATTTTGAAGTCGTTGTTGTTGTTGTTGAACAGCAGGGACCTGTTGCTGTTGACCGGGGTAGGTCTGTGTGTTGTAGTTATAGTTAACTTGACGTTGTTGATCATATTGAAGCTGCTGAGTTTGGTCTAAGTACGATCCCTGTGATGGCTGTTGTTGGGCTAACGTTGGCTGTTGTAATGGTTGTTGATTGGTCAATGCTGATGATCCAAAACCGGTCTGTGGTGGTGCGAACGGGTTCGGAGCTGGTGTTACCTGAGTAAAAGTGATCCCTCAATTCTCTCCCTATTGATTCAGGGCGACAAAATGTGCAATGACTCTTTAAAAATGTTTTGTGAATTACCGGTGCTAGAGCTCCTAGGTTGAAGAGACCAAATGGATCCAGTAAAGATTGCGCACTGCCGGCACCCACCTAAATAAAAAGATGTTGTATTGGTGGCATTAGGTTGTGGCTGATCATTTCAGGGGCTATCTCGTTCGTAGATGAAATGAGCGGCTATAGGACTTGAATTCCTTCCGGATAAAATCATTAATGCTGATTCATCTTCCGCCAAAAAGAATGAAAGCGAAATCGTCGTCAAGCGGCGGATGTAGCCTTTCTTTTTTGCTATTGTTTTTTGTGATCGCGCAAGAACGACCAAGAAACGGGCTCTGTAGATTAATTGCTTCTTAGCGAATGCGTGACTTCCTTAAAAGTAACCTCTTCACCGCTTCCGGTATAGTTTTCATTATTACATTTCCTGGCCCGTATCGTTTTGATGTCATTAATCTTCTTTCTTATGACGACTAAAGGTCAGAAGGCGTGGTCTCTAAGGTGGGCGGGATCTGTGAGGCTGAATAGCACTTGAACACTGTGATTATGAAATTCGACCCAACCGCGATACTCATTTGGAGTTCGATCTACCTATGGAAGGGACCACGCCCCTATTTTGACGTAAAGAATTTCAGAGAAAGCTTACCTGCTGCATGAAAGGTTGGAAAGGATTCAGTAACGGAGATGTTGGTTGCTGTTGAGGGTACTGTACTGAGCTCTGACTTTGTTGTGCTGGTTGATATGTTGGCTGTGAGAATGAGGTGGATGGGAAGGGGTTTTGATTTGTGTTGTAGTACGGTGTTGGTGCAGCTGCCGAACTTTGGTATTGAGTTGGTGGCTGTTGTAATTGGAATCCACTCTGAATCTGAGTACTCCTGCCGTATTCGGGTAGCGGCTGAGCTAAATCAGCGGGTTGACTTGCAAGATTGCTGTTGATTTCGGTTGGTCGTAATGCTGGCAGAAGTGGTGCCAACGTCGACACACCCGGGAACGGTTGCTGCTGTGGATACTGGACTACCGGAACTTGGCCAGTCTGAGGAGCAGCATATTGTGCATAGTGGTAGGGCTGCTGGAAACGCACTTCTCTGGGCTCCTATAAGAAGAACCATGATCATACGTATTATTACGAAGGGAAACTCTTCAAACGGAACCTTTAGCCCTGTCAGTGAGGG